GAAAGGGAGTCTTGTTCCTTCAGCTCCGTCAGGGCTGAGCCTCGGCACTTCTCTAGGCACTGTAGAAATAGACCTCAGGTACGGGAAGGTGCAGGCTGCGGCTGCCTGGGGGGTTTGAGAGAGACTGCCTGTGGGTTTTGAGAGAGAACTCGCGTGGCTGAGAAACGACTATGGCATGAGCAGCGGCAGGCGGGACTGTTCCCGTGCTCTCAGAGCCTTCTGTTCACCGAGCCTGGCTTGGCTTGGGGCTGTGTAGTGAGCAGAGAGAGCTGTTAAAGAAACCCTAATTCACATACTGTGCTTCTGTGTGCTGAGTAGAATTTCCTGTTTTGAAGGACAAATGCTCCTATGAACTCCGTGATTTGCCCATGCTCCCAACTATGAGATGTTTCTGTTTAAATGCTGTTCAAATATAATTGTCTTTTCCGTGTACTTTGCCAGTTCAGCCGTACAGTGTTATTCCAGCATTAGTTGTATTACATTGTTCTCATGTGTGATGGTTGGTTTACTTAGGAAATTCATCAAGATAACTGTATAACTTCCTATAGAAAGATAAAGTTAATGTTTTGAAATCTATGGGAACTGAGGAGTGTTCTTTCTAACTAGGTTTGGTTGCAAAATTGAGCGAGTGTTGTGGAGTTAAGCAGCTGCTGCTCAGAGGACAAGTGTTGGGTTTCAGCCATTATGGCCTCTGCTACAGTGACCTTGAGTTTCAGTCTGGCTTTGAAAATTGTTTAAAAATGTGTATCTTTCTTTTATCTGGCCTAGCCTTTCAAATAATGGAATCATATTTTTTTGTTATGACTAAGTTGCTTTCTAGCTTAATAACAAAACTGTTGAAATTGAAGTGACTGAGCACAATACATTCAAAGACACAAGCTGATGGTAATTTGTAGTTGCTACAGGTTTTGGGGTAGGGAGAGTACAGTCTTGGGCCTCTCATAACTGCTCCCTGGTAAGCTAGTTACACAGTTTAAAAGCTGTACCTGAATGCCTGTTTTAAATTGGAGTACCAAATGTTTTTATCCTGTTATAATTATAGGAAAAATATAACTGAATCTTTGTCCCTCTTTCTTATGGTATATTTCCCCCCCCCAACACGTGCTGTATGTATGTGCATGTTATATCTGCATACCTCAGATGTTTTGATCAAAGGGCGTGAAAAACATGGTATTTTTAAGGGAAGTTTAACAAAACAAAGAACTAAGCAATGTGACATTTTTAAGAGGGAAGTGATAGTTGCAGAAAGTAGGGTTTAAGGATGAGGCTTCAGGAGCCTCCATATGAGAAGTTTGCCCTTTCCTTGATGGGATACAAGTAATTGAATACACTGAAGGCAGCAGTTTGTCAGGGGAGGCTGCAGTGAGGGGATTTCAGGTTGTGGAGAGATGCAATATTGTCTACACAAAACAATGCAAGTTAATGTCCATTAAAAACTCTAAGATGAGTGTTCTGCATTTGTGCATATGAAAATTAAAGTTTAATTAAGGTAAAACTGTGCAATTACAGAAAGATCCTTTTAGTGAAACGAAGATGTAAGCCTGTAATACAACTAATTTTCAGAGGTATTTTAATATCTCTGTCTCTAAATTAGTTTCATGTAATTGTAGTGGAGCAGCCTGTGATTGTTGAGCAGGTTCTGCTGTTACAGTTTTATCATATGACCAGCAGTAGGGATGTGGTCCCAAAGGGACAGGAGCTGGTGCTTAGTCTTGAGTTTCCTGTTGTGGGGAGGACATGAGCTGGAGGAGGTTTTTGGATTCCACTGAAGCCTGTCTGTGTAGCCAGTCTGGCTTTAATAACTCATTGCCCAGTTGAGTGATGAAGCCCTAGGAAGATTCTGTCATCTGCAGTAAAGGGAACTTTCGAGGTTTCTGCTGTAAGGGAGATGATGACAAGGAGACAGACATATGATTTATATGAAGCTTTCATAGGAGTTTAAAGAATATTCCTCAAAGGCTAACTCTTGTATTCTTAGTTTCTGTGGGTGTGGCATGAGGGAGGAGTGTTCAGTGGTTTTGTTGAGGGGTTTTAGTTTTGTTTTTAGTAGAGAGCATGCACAGTAGAGTCCTTAATGCAAATAAAAATGAAGGCTGATTAAAACAAAAGAGGAAAGCAGGATTTTAAAACTGATGTGACTTGTCGTGCACTGGGAGTTTAGTTATTTATAAAATAAAGTTGCTTTTCATAGGAAACTGTAATTTGGTTGGTTTGTGTTGGGTTTTTTGAACAAGGCAGTATTTTATCTGCACGTATGAAAATGATGAAGCCTGACATGCATTCATTCGGATTAGATTGAATTTGTACTACAAAATCATGACTGACATTTCCAATTGGCTCATCTAAAATTCATGTTGACATTCTAAAAATGTTACATTACATTTCTATCATCTCCAGTGTGTTAGATATCTAACAAAGTCTCTGCAGACTTTTCTGTTTAAATGGTCTGTCAACAAAAAAATATTTGCATTGTTTAGTAGGCTGAATTTAAGAAATTTTTTTCTTGTCACCTCATCATTGTCATCAAGATTCTAGAACTAGCAGTACTAGCTTCTTTTACCAAGTTCCTGTATGTAAATTTACCTGGAAAAGGTGCTTTACTGCTCCTCCAGCTCCTAATCACTTTCTTTGCAATAATGTGGAGAGCAGATTGCCAATGGCCACACCTGGCAGGGAAGAAAACTTGAAAAAGAGTGAGAGTGTTTATTACAGAAAACATTTGTTACTGGGAAATAGACATCTAAATCATTTTGTTTTCATGTGGTGATGATTTGGAAGAGGACAGAATCCATTGTCCTGATGCTTGCAGAATCCCTGTGTGATTTGTTTGGGTCATTGGTAGTATTTATGGTGTTTTAAAAAACGTTTTTCACATGAAATTGATTTCCTCTGAGGACGTGAAGTAGTATGGATGTTGGGGGGGTTTCCCCATCAAGTTGATGGGAGGGATGTATTCTATAGCTTGCAGTGTAATACACTTGAATAAATGGTATTCTGGGTGAGTGGGGAGGGCAGGAAGTTGGCCAGAATGAAATGGCTTAGTCATTTTTCAGAATTTACATTAATGTGATTTATTTTGTTGCTGTTGTGTTTGTTGTGGGTTTTTTTCTCTTCCAACATTAGCAAGAAGGCTCATTGTGTGCTCAACACTGCCTGAATAACTTGCTACAAGGGGAATACTTTAGTCCTGTTGAGTTGTCCTCCATTGCACAACAGTTGGATGAGGAAGAAAGGATGAGAATGGCAGAGGGAGGAGTGTCTAGTGAAGAATACAGAACATTTTTACAGGTAAAATCAACTTCAACTGAGGTCGCTTGATATTTGCCTGAAATGTAATATTGTGTAGCACAGACCTGCTGTTCTTGCATAGCTAGACAAGGTTGATTTTTCTAATGCTAAAGCTTCTTAAATTTATAGCCTTCTCATTCATGCTTCTTAGATTTGGCATTTTCAAATGTTACTAGTAAAGCTTTACAAGCACTCTACAAAAAGCTACTTTATCTTCATCTTGCAAGTAGGAAGGTCGGGCATGGTGAGGAGGATCAATGTTTTGCCTTTTGCTTTTGTAAGCTAGTGTCAGATAGGAACAGAAGCTTCCATGTCTGTCTGCCCTTTAAGCACTGATCATTTCTAATTTTAAGGTTTGAGGTTTTAATTAATACGCTTATTTGGGCATTGTCATCAGCCTTACAGACTGGGATGTATCAGGCTGTTGCTTTAAGAATGTACAGTTACATTTATTTTCAAAACTCAATTATTTTTGACCTTTTATGCTTATGCCATTTTTCTCTTTCCTCCCTCCCGACCTCACACTGAGCAGCAACCTTCTGTGAATATGGATGACAGTGGATTCTTCTCGATTCAAGTAAGCACAGCTCCCTTCTGGCACAAGTTTCTATTTATGCAGCATATGTTCTCTCATATAATTTAAATGGCATTGAGCCTTTTCATCTAGTTTCCAGTTTATGGCCTTAATGGGATTAAGTGCTGGAGTTCCAGATCTTCAGAGTGTTTTCCGTTAAGAGCAATGACTTGCAGTTCTTTAGTTCATGAGCCCTTAAACACCTAGTAGAAATGTGGGCTCTGAAACTGTGAAATGACACCTGCTGGCAATAAACTTGATCTCTAAGTTGCATCTTATGGGCACTTTAGGTGTAGACCTTGTCTCCCATAGACTACAGATGAAGAAGCAGAATTTAGATTGTTTTCTCAAATTACAGACCGTAAAGCCTTTGGCAATGGTTACAGGTTATCACAGTGACCTGCAGAAAGCTGCAGTATCTGTATTCCTGGTTTTATAACTCACTCCAGACACTTCAGAGACCTTGTTTTTACCTTTTTCCTTTTTTTTTCTTTTTAAGGGCTATAGTGGAAAAGTAATCAATAATAAATTCTTAAACCAGAACAACCAAAAATGGTTTTGAGCACCAAATTGGGACTTGTATCTAGACGAGAGCTGTAGGCAATGCTTTGCACCTTTGGCTGTCTCCCAAGCTTTCAGAGGTGCTTGTCAATGTTCCAGAATCCCTCGAGAGCCTCTTTTCCTTATGGCAAGACAGGGCTGTTTTTCTGTTCAGTGAAAAACCATTAACAGTTTGGCTTTCCTTGTATTCTTCTTGATTGTGCTGCTTCAGTATAGAAGCTGAAAAAATATGCTTCCTTGTTCTACTTTTTTGTCCTGTCATTGCTTTGCTCCCTTGCTGCTTGCTGAAAGGAAGTTCAATTGTTAATTGAAAATTCCTTGCAGCATTATATCACATAGCTTTAAAAGAGTTACTGTAAAAGAGTTTGTGCTCAGTTCAGTACTTGACTGATCCTGTCACAATCCAGTGTGACAAAAATTCCAGTAGTTACTGTGGAGAAAGATGCGATTGTATTTGAGAGGGGAGGGAGGGCAGAGCAAAGACCTAACTTCTGAAGTGTCTGTGGGAGGCAAAGTTGCAGCTTTGTTTGGGGGAGTAGTGAGCTTGTTAACACGTCTCAGATAAATCCTAGTTCTGTTACTTGCCCTTGGATAAGTAATGCCTGTTATGTTTGCATGTAGATATGTGACAGCTGCATTTTGAACCAAGTGATTCCTACGTTTCCTAGCAATGTTTTGAAATCTAAGTGTTATGAAAACAGTATAATTGTTTGTAGTAGCCAAGATGGTTGCATTGCTTCAATTTGGATTTGACTGGTTTGACTTATGAAAAGTGCTATTTTTTGACAGGTTATAAGCAATGCCTTGAAAGTCTGGGGTTTAGAACTAATCCTCTTCAACAGCCCAGAGTATCAGAGACTTGGGATCGACCCTATGTAAGACTTTTTTAGCACCCTGCTTTCATTTTACAGAAAAAGATACTCTTAATCTATGATTTAAATCTTTCCTTAAAATTGCTCTTTCAAGCTCTGTTGCATTCTGATGTTTTTATTATCCCCTCTCTTTGATATTTTTCTTTTTGGGTGTGGATATGAGCATCTGTCCTCTGTGCCTTCCTATCTTAGTATCTGTGGCATCACAGGTATATGAAGATTTCCGTGATACTGACAACTTCCTAACTGTTGTAAAAGCAGTATGAGTATTCTGTAATGTAACATCCCACAGCTGTTACTTAAGTTTTATTATATAACTTTAAATCAGTGGTAGCAAAGAACTTAAACGTTAATATGTACTCTGATTTTAGAGGATTTAATTTTATTTATACCCTTTGTTTTTCTTTTTACAGAAATGAAAAATCATTTATTTGTAATTATAAGGAACACTGGTTTACAGTTCGAAAGTTAGGAAAACAGGTGACACTGTCTTCTTTTTTTATTTCAAAATTCACTGCACAATGGGTGTGGAGAAGTGGTTGCAAGTAGATCATGTGTTGGCCTTTTGCAAGCTTTTGCTGCAGTTTGCTTTAGTAGTATCCCATATTGAAAAAGTAAACGTTTTTATCCCAAAAGTGCCAGGCAGCTTGTTATAAATGTTAGCCTGAGGAGAGACCCGAGGATCTGTTCCTTACTGAACATGTCCTTTAGGGGAGCTGCAACTCTGCTAGAGTCTATGTGGCATCTTAAGTTCTTTTCTTTCTTCCCTGCATGAAAAATAGCAGAAAACTTGTATGGGGAAGGAGCAGAGATTGTTATACAAGGATGAGGATCCCTGTAGAACGCAAACTTATTTTAATGCACTACGTTATTGACGTTGTAAAAATAATTTTTCTCGTTTAAATGGACAGTAGGGATAAGAAATTCAATGTTCAAATCCATTAGTGTTCATGATTGCTAGCAGTTAAGCATTATATCCATTAGAGTGAGATTGGGGAAAGTAGAATCAAAACTTAATACTATTTTAGAAATCTTTATGATGCAATTGTATTCTAAGCAGGAAATAGTTACTAAATGTAAGGGATGGCCATACAAATATATGGTACAGATAGAGTAACTCAATTCATATCCATGTCCCTTGCAGCACCAGTGCAGTGTTTCACTTCAGTAGCCAATCATTGTTCTGGATCATACTTCTTAACCTTTTATACAACCTAAGCTCTTTTGGAGTTTAGATTTTCTCAGGGTGGGGTTTTTTCATAGAAAACGTTTATGGAAAAAAGCTTTCAGGTTCTGTAACAGTGGGACAGGAATCAGGAGTGTCTTTATCCATTTGGTTCATTTTTGCAAGTGCTGGCTCTGTATTAAAAAAAATAGAGAAAAGTTTTCTATGAGTAAGCAAACTAAACTCTACTGGGTTTAGTTTAAAAGTATGGCTCATGTTTACAGGCAGTATTTGTATATTTGATATCAAAAAGGCTGAGTAGTCTCTTTGAAGTATGGGAATGCTCCTTATATATACACAGCCAGGCTGGGTGGAATTTTGTGAGAGAGCATTTTAACCCAAAGCATCCTGAGGGGAGATGTCTTTTGCTTGTACACATGACTTGTAACCACATGAAGACAATGCTAGGGGGGAATGAGAAGAGATAGACAAAATAGGTTGACTTAGATTTGTTTGACCTGCTTGTCTTTTGTCACAGTTAGAGCAAAATTACTTTACCAAAACTTTCTCTTCTATATTCCCCTTGAAAAGTTTCTGTAGTCTGTCCATATATTTTTTACATAACTTTTTATTCCCCTATTCTCCTACAATGTTGGTCTTCTTAGCCTGTGCTAGTGGCAAAGGATGTTTTGGTCAGATTAAGGGACAAAAATGTCAGAATGGCAGATAGTCACTTACCTGTATCCCAGGTGCATTGGGAGTGTGGGCCTGGCTGCATATCTGTGGGAATGGAGATAGAATTCTCCTTCTACTATCTGAAATGGTGATTCCTGGTTAAAATTGGATAATTTTCAATGAGTGTGGTATAAAAAAGGTTCTTCAGCTGGATTGCAATATATATGGGGGTTTAAGGGCAGAATATTTTGTTGTCTGCATTGAATATATTTTCTTGCTGTAAGTTTTATATAAATATAATTTTGTTTCTTTCTAGAAGTATTATAAATTACTAGCTAGAAGTGATCTGTGTGTATTTATATAAAGTGTCTCCTGTTGTAATATAGTGCTGTACACTCAGCATATTAAATTTGAGTTAATTTTTCTTTTTACATTAAAAAATTATCTCAGAGAGGGCTAAACAATTTCTTAACACACAGCATTCGCTCACCAAGGGTTTCTTTGTGAGGGTCTCTTTCTAGTCTCGGGTTTAAAGCTAGGATTAAGCAGAATTTTAGAATGATGCCTGAATTAAAATAAAATATAATGGGAGAAGAATTATCTGTTTCAGTCTGTTTGCCTGGTACCAGTATTCAGTAATGGCAGAGAGTGTGCCGTGATTTCCCCACTTCATAGCTCCTGTTAGCTGAAGAGTATCTGAAGGGTAACCTTTAGCAGTATAGGTATTGTGCTTCAAAATACTTTTATTGGATAATTTATTTTACTAGATTTATTTGGATATTCCATCATAGAAAGTTACCACAATGTACAGAAATGGATTACCAAGTAATCTTTATGCTAATTTGTTCTCTCAACCCTTTTTTTTTTTTAATTACAGTGGTTTAACTTGAACTCTCTCTTGATGGGTCCAGAACTAATATCAGATACATATCTTGCACTTTTCTTGGCTCAATTACAACAGGAAGGTAATAGTAACTTGCAGATGTTAAATCTCATTAATTAAAAGCAGGTAATAATCATTATTTCTTAGAACCTACATATTCAGTTAACTCCCCTTAGTTTTATGATTGAAATAGTGAAATAACCCAAGTCTTTATAATGAAAGGTAGAGCCTTACTTACATTGTAATAAATTGCACATCATTGTGTTCCATATACTGTGCATTTTAGAGTGTTTATACCTACACCTTAATGCTGTAGACTTACAATTTCTTTTTCTCAGGTTATTCCATATTTGTAGTAAAAGGTGACCTGCCAGACTGTGAGGCTGATCAGCTGCTGCAGATGATTCGAGTACAGCAGATGCAGAGACCAAAGCTAATTGGAGAAGAGGCAGCAGCACAGTCAAGAGATCAGAGGTAAGGTAAATAGAGATTTCATTTTAGTAATGTTGAGTGTGATTGGTTTCCATGATTAATGCCTACATGGAGACAACCCCCTTAAGAAGTAATTAGAACAACCTTTAGTGCAATGTTTACTGCTGTTGCACACAGTAAAAGCAAGCTGGTAGACTACAAATGGTATATTTTTCAAGTGGGTAAAAACTGAATAAAGATTGAGTTTTTCCATGTGCATAAGCATATTATAGAGCAGATTTTTAATTTCATTGTTAAAATGGGTTAGCAAATATTACCAAACTATGGTTAATAGTAATTAATCTGTAATTAAGACTGGCTTATGCATTCTGTCATGTGGAAAAGAACGAGAAAGTTGTATGTGAATTCCACATCTTAAATCATACAGCGTTCCCTTTTGGAATGATGTCACTGTAAATGCGGTGCTGCTCAGTTTTGATGCATTCTGCTAATGAAAACATCCTCAAAGTCATATAAAGTACATTTTCTTATATTTTCATAGTGAGTAAACTGCATACTGATAAGTCTTAAGGCTTTTCATGGGAACTGATTATTACTTCTTCCCCTTTGTAAAGTTAAACTGGTGGTGTAAATTGCTGGAATAAATTGGCAGTAACATGGCGAGTGCATGCCGTTTGCAGAGGATCTGTTGCTCTAGTGTGGCCTTCAAAGCTTCCTGAGGAGGAGACCACATGCACTGTTTTGTACTGGTGTAACTGTTGAAGTAGCAGTAGGTTTGAATAACATGTATTAAGGCTCTTTGTAGGCTTATTGTTTTCAAAGATGTTCCTATCTAACAGCTTCTTGTCAACATGTGCATGGGTTTTTGTGCTTTTTCATTAGAAAGGAAAATATTTGTTTAGACTGAAAATTTTTACAATAGAAATGTTTTTTCCAAAGTTTAAAAAAAACTAGAATTAAATCAGCAGAAAATACTTATTTTTAACTTCGTGGTAAAGGCTAATACCATTTCTGAGTTCTGCTATAAATGTATGAATTTCACAGGCTACCCAGAAGTGATGTGGACCAAGCAATAGAAGTTAACCAGCCTTTTGATGGAACAGGCATGTTAGATGAAGATGAAGAGAATTTTCAGAGAGCTTTGGCTTTAAGCAGGCAGGAAATTGATATGGAGGATGAAGAAGCGGATCTTCGTAGAGCCATTCAGCTCAGCATGCAAGGTGCAGTGCTCACCTAAATTTCTCTTAGTGTTGGTGTTGCTTATGCTTTAGACAGCTACTGGAATTCGTTTGTCAGGCACTTTTTCCAGCACATGTCAAGCTCTCTGGAAAGACAGGCTTTGAGGCATGGAGGGACAATCCAGAATGTCCTGTAGCTATTTCCTTTCTGCTTTTTGAAAAGTTGTAACTTTCATGTTGGCATTGGTCACTAGTGAGGTAGAACAAACTGGCAGAGGGTGACAGATGGGAAGGGAAACAGCCCTAAGGTGATGAGGTGAGACAGTATCAAGTGAAGTTAGTCTAGGTGCTTATTTCTCCAACAAGTCTCTTTCTTCCTTTCAAGTTCAAAGACACTTTCTTAAGCTGTATTTCATTTACTAACTTCAATTTACTCTAATGAGTAGGATGTGGCATGTTCTGGTTTTAGGTAGTCGTCGAAGTGAGCTCTCAGGCTCATTACCCCAGAATGTTCCTCAGTCGTCCCACAGCAGTCAGACAGACTCCCTTTCTTCAGAAGAGCTGCGAAGGAGAAGACAAGCCTATTTTGAAAAGTAAAGTAGTCGTTAGAAAACTGCATGTGGAAGCACATGTGTTTTTCAGTGCTTTTGGGGCGTGAATGGGTTTTGTACTGAGGTCCAGTTCAGCTTTTCTCCCTTAACATGTTTTCCTAACAGTACCTGAATTTCGCTATTCTCAGGTGATTCCTGTGAAGAAACCTGTAAACAAGAGGGGGTTTGATAGTAATGCAACTTCTTGTAAAGAAAACAAACATACATGTTATAGAGGTATTTTCAATCCTGAAATCCTGTAAATTTTGGAAATTGTCTTCCCAACAAAAAGTATATTTTTCTAAGACTTTTTGCTTCTGGTAATGATGGTTCTAATGTACATCACACGAAAGCATTCTAGATGATAGTTTGTGTTGCTGTTCTGGTGTACCTTCTTAATACATAGCTGGGTTATTGTTGTAGCTTGGCTTTATCTTCTAGTGATGGAGGAAATAAAGACCAGGGTGAAATGCTGTGGATGGGAGGAGCTAGACTTTGCATGATAGAATAAGAATGCAAAAGTTCTGAATCCTCAGAAAATAGTAGTATGGCTTGGAGTATAATAGACAGGTGTCTGAAGGGCTAGCAGGGTGAAATGATAGAGATTTTAGGTGCAGGGGTGTTGTTGTACTTCTACCTCTGCCTTTGGCCTTCCTTACAATGAAATAAACTTGATTCAGGTCTCATACTGATGTTAATCTTATTCTCTTATAAATTTATAACACTTTCAGACAGCAACAACAGCTACAGCAGCAAGCTCAGACCCCAAACCTACCTGATAAGTCAACTCTACGTTCAAGCACTCCAGAAACTGACCCAGGTATTGTTTTTTAAACTTAGATCCAACACTGAAATAGTTAGTCTTTTTCGGCTCCGTGTTGTGCTGTTTCCTAAGGCTCCTTGTCTGTTTACTTCCTGACTAGCAGCCATACAGACTATGCATCACATCCATTACTCTTGGCAGTGAAGGGAAGGATTGCTTTCCTGAAAAGCCTGTTCCTTTTGGAATGTCAATATCCTGTTTTAAAGTGAAGAGCACTGCTATTAGACCACGAGTTCTGGCTTTGCTGTTGTTTGTCTCAGGCATTATAAATTGGAATCTTTGGGATTTGTGCCAACCATTTTCCTTCTGAATTAGTTTTAAAGTTGTATGACAATGTAATAAATCTGGAGTATTATGTAACATAAAAGTTTTCAGTAGAACGTAAGTGTAGGCCTTACCAGTATTAGGTATTGATGATCCAAAATTTGTGTGTGTTATTTGTCACAGACTGACTTTACAAACAAAGCCAATTTTCTGGGTGGGGTAGGTAAAGTTGGGTGTGGACAAAAGGAACAACAAAAGCATTTAACTACAGTAAAGAACCAGCTCTGTGACTTTATTATAACTTAAATGCGTTTATTGTCTGCAGGAGGTGATATGAGTGAAGAAGACATGCTTCAAGCAGCCATGAATATGTCTCTGGAATCTGTTAGAAACCACTTGAATTCTGAAGAGGAGAAATGATGCGATTTTTTTCCTCTCTTACTGTCACAATGCTAAGTCTCCATTAAAATTCTACTGTGTGAATGTTGCACAAGCAGGGTTCATTTCAGAGTTCTGGAAGCAGGAAGGAAAGGGGGGCTGGAGGTCAGAGTTCAGAGGGAATCTGCAAGTACAAAACCCATTGCACTAATTTAGAAAACTGTAGCACTCCTACTACAAAACATCTGCTCACAAGAGTAGTGGTATTAAAATTACTTAAACTAGTCACGTGAACAAAGTTAGACAGGTGTAGCAGCTGTAGCTTGCATTTAAAAAGCAAGTTTTAAATCGTTTTGAAGGATTCTATAGAAGATACAAAAGGCACCGAAAACCAGCATCAACTGATTTCCTTCAGTACTAATGGAAAAATGGGTAAAAGTAACAAGTTGTGCTCATAAATTATTAAGCTCTTTATAAGAAATCGCTTGAAATGGGGAAAAAGAATTAAATTCTGTTCATTTTAAATAATTTTTTTTGTGATTGTTTGTTAGGAATGACAATGTCAACTTTCTGATCCTGCTGTCCACATTTGAAATGACCCATTCTGCAGGAGAAACACCAATCCATCTATTTCACACTATGTAATTCAAGATAAAAACTGCAGTGTATTGTTGATTATTATGTTACTCCTGAATCTTTCAGTTACTTCTGACTTACTAACACTTTCTGGTTTTGCTTTCAGTTCCAGCTGTAAAATCTTAGATCCATGTTAAACATATTGTCTTTTGGCAGATAACTTGCCTTACTTGGTTTGATTTGTTGGGGTTTTTTTAGTTTTTCTTACGTTCTTTCTAGTTAAGCCACTGTTTTTACTACAAAAGTAGCATATAATCAGTTGGGTTGAACAGGTTTTCTTTTCTACCTCTTCCAGAGTCTTTTTTTCCCTCTTCAAGCTCAACCCTTCATTCTGGCCTTGCAGTATGAAAGAGCTGTAACTGAGTCTAGGAGGAAGGAGGAGGGGATTTAGGTGCCA